GTAGAGTTTTGGATATCGAAATGTTGAGTGGTTTGTTTGGCTAGTGAGATAACACGTGAAACAGATCAGAATTCTGTAAAACTGAATTACCTGACACATCTTCAGGGTAAGTTGGAACAGTCGGCCTATATTTATATTTATACAGGTACGATGGTTTACTCTCAGCTCCGTCCTCCCCTTTTACCCCTGCCCCCACACCCTCTCTATAATATACATGTATTATTGTTCCTATCTCCTCATCTCTTCCCTTCCCTCTTTACCTCTACATCCACCTCCACCTCCACCCGTCCCCCTCCACTCTTTACCCCCGCCCTCACCCCGTCCTCTTTCCTCTATCTCCACATCCCAGGAGTTTATTGTCCGACTTACATTTTTCATCCTCACCTTATCTGTGCACATATACTCTCTCTCTCTCTCTCTCTCTCCCCCCTCCTTTCTTCCTTTTTTTCCTTATATCGCCTCTCTAAAACACATATTTCAACATCCCCCACCGCTACCATTTTTTTTCCTGCTAATGCTTTATCTCTTTAAAATATTCAAATTTTATGCAAAAGCATATTGAACGATTTTTTTTTTACACCTTCCCCGCCCATTTCACTTCTCTACGGAGCATAGAAAAAAAAAGCTTTCTAACGTTCATTCCCAATTCTCTAAAAACATGTAGCACTCAATTTTCAAATGTTAATATCCTTCTTTTCCCCAATAATAGTTCATGATGACCTTTCCGTTACGTTTACGGCAATGCAAACTGAAAAAACCCAGCAAAGACAGAAAAAAAGGAAAATATTTTTAATGAATACAACCGCTATAGTAGTATGAGCTTAAATAAACATGAGGGCTACATTTAAAGAAAAAAGAAAATATTCTAGGGAAACACGTTTAAGCACCAGGAAGAACATTGGGCACCTTGTGTCTAGTTCTTGGAACAATATTATAGATTAGACGGACCTGTATGAGCACTGAGAAACTCAGGGGAAATTACAGTCTACTTTTCATAACGTGTTGTGGGCAAAACCTTATCTTATATTGAGGCCGTGCAAGTGTGCGCGCGTACGTGTGCGTGTGTGTGTGTGTGTGTGTGTGTGTGTGTGTGTGTGTGTGTGTGTGTGTGTGTGTGTGTGCGATTGCGAGTGTGCAAACAAATGTGTGTGCAGTGTGTGTGCGCGCGCACGTGTGCGTGTCTTCATTGCCTCCCACCAAACTAGTGTGTCTAATAGTAATAATGACGCCAGCAGCTTCATTACGCCAACAAACAGTTCTGTATACAAAGACTTAATGGGAGTTCCACGCAAAATGAGATAAAATCTGACTCATTAAAACCGCCCTTCATTGTCGACGACATTTGCGGCGATGTTTCCCCCATTAGCTTGTGAATTCACCCAGAGAGAGAAATCATTTTGAAATAAAGCGTCCAATTTGTTAGCTAAACTGAAACGTGTGCGATACACGTTGGAACAAGTCTGAGCGAAGGTCTATCATCTAACAAGGCAAACCCTAATGTCCGGATTGGACGCGGGAGCAACTTTAGTTTTACAGAAAAAATACAATAAATAATTAGGAGCAAGAGAGGCAGAGAGCTTTATTATTGAGGGGCTTCATATCTACAATTAAAAGATTTATTGTGTCATGTTTTGGTTCTGTTTTGAAATGGCTTTAGTTTTTAATTTTTGTAGAGGTTTTACCTAGAGAAGAATCACAGAAATTGATGTACAGAAAAGTGGGAAGACATGGAATAACTTCAAGAGGCTAGCCCAGGATAGAGAAAGGTGGAAG